TGAAACTCTGCAATCTAAGAATATAGTTTCTAGTAGGGTGTTCATATGAACAAAATTTGCTTAGAACAAAATCGAGAAGGATTTATTAAGTGTCTATCCTGTCTTCATGTAAGTTGCATCTGTTGGAAAAGAAAAAATTAACACACATAAAAGAATATCATGAAACATCAAAAAATATATATAATTTAGTGCCATTTTGTACACTAGACTATGTCAGCCAGAGGAATAGAGATCAGTAAAGACTTGCATGGTCAGAAATAGAGGAAGTGGAACTTGAAGGGAGACTTTAAGAAAAAGTTGGGTCTGGGGTGCCACAGTGGCTCAGTTAGGCATCTGACTCTTGATCTCAGCTCAGGTCTTAATCTCAGGGTCCTGAGTTTGAGCCCCACAATGGGTTCCATGCCCAGGGTAAAGACTACTTTTTTTTTTTTTTAAGATTTTATTTATTTATTCATGAGAGACACGGAGAGAGAGAGAGAGAGAGGCACAGACACAGGCAGAGGGAGAAGCAAGCTCCATGCAGGGAGCCTGACATGGGATTCGACCCCCGGGTCTCCAGGATCGCGCCCTGGGCTGAAGGCAGCGCTAAACTGCTGAGCCACCCGGGCTGCCCCTAAAGACTACTTTAAAAAAAAAAAAAAAAAGTTGGGTCTGTCAGGCGGTGAAATAACCTTTTTCAGACTGGGGGACCAACAAAGGTATAGTGGAAGGAATATCCAAAATATGTTTATGCGACATTAGGTAGAGTAGACATTAATGGAAAATAAGGCAGGTTCAACTGAGATTACAGAAGGCCTGATATTTTTCAGTAATTTAGATAGAGTAGAATTAACCCATGTAGGTAAGATTTGAAGTGGGTCAGAAAAGGACATAAACATCACTTCATTAAATAAGAAATACAGATACCTGACAGACATATGAAAGATGTTTAACCTCACAAATGAAGAAATTGACAGTAAGATTCTATTGTTCATGTATAGTTATTAGCAAAACTTTTAAAGATTATGTCCATTGTGAACTAGGGTATGAAGAAATAGAGGTGTTATATAAAGTTCTAATTTTTCTTTTGTTGCCTGTGCTTTTGATGCCATATCTGAGAATCCTTTACCAAATCCAAGGTCAAGAAGGTTTACTCCTGTGTTTTCTTCTAAGAGTTTATATTTTAGTTTTACACTTAGATCTTTGATCCATTTCGAGTTAATTTTTTTGATAACATGTGAGGTAAGGACTTTGTAATATTTTGAATGTGGCTCCTAAAAATGTTTAGGTAATATATGTGGCTTGCATTTATGTTTCTATGGGACAAAATTGGCCTAGACCGATGGTCTCTAAACTTTTTGATATGACTCCCTATTGAGAAAAAAAAATTGAGCATTCACCTACCAATACATGTACATGTATTTATACTATCATATGAATAACGTATTAATGTACATTAAAATATAAAATGTATATAGAAAATTAAAATTTAAAGGCACTTAGTATTAAAATAAATATAAGTAAAATTTCCCACACTTCAATGGATTATTTTGCACATAATTACTTTTGGAGCCCACCAGTCTAGACTGTGATCATAACTTTATAATTGGCTCAAGTCTTCTTCCTTCTCCACAGGTGTTAACAGAGAACTCTCCAAGTGCAAATCTGATCATGTCATGCCTAGCCAATTTACAGATAAAATCCAAATTCAGTTTAACACTTAAGGCCTTTCATCCCTGCCTTTAACCCTCTAGCTTCAGGCCTCACCACGCACCATACATGTTATCAATCCATACCATACCCCCACACATCACCCTTTACCTATGCTTTTCCTCTACCCAGAATTCTATTTCTCTGCCTCCTCACCAGGTTAGTTAGGATTCGTTCTCATCCTTTAGTGTGTCCCTTCTTAGCATTTAGCATTCTGTGGTAATTTATTTGCTCATCTTCCTCAGCAAACTGTTAGATCCTCCAGGTAGAAACTATGTATTTCCAGTACCTATACAGATTACAGGCTTTTTATAAATTTTGTTAAAATGTTCATGAATGTCTTATTGGATGAGTTAATAATGTTTCTTCCAAATCAGCCTGCTTTTCTATAGTCATTGATAACTTATGATGAAGGAAAAATGATAATATAATTATTTTTGTTTAATTGCAAGTATGATAGTGATGAAAAATTGTATCATTTTTCCTGTGTGTTCTAGATTTCACAATTTTTTTTATTTTTTCCTGTTTTGTTTTGTTTTGTTTTTTCTGTAACATCTGTAATCAGTGGGCTAAATGGATCATTTAGGGCAACCTGAGAATCTTACTACCATTCATAAAATATCTATGCAGAGATGATTCTGCTGTCTTTACAGTGACTTAGGAGTAAATGTTTTAAATGTGATCAGTGCATCAATTGAAGACAATTGTACGACACCATCTTCTACATTATAAGCATTATATCATAAATGATATTAGCATTCATAGTAAAAACCACATAATTCCTGTTAGCATCAGTTCCTAAAAAGTTTTTCTCAGTAAAATGGTTCTATAAGCTAGTAATTAGAACACTGTAAGACATTTCAAGGCATCATAAGATAACTTCCTTCTATTTAGAGTTGATTTTCCTCACTTAGAATCTACCTTAACTAAAATCAGGGCAATTCTTAGTAGAAGGGTGGCTCAGCAGTTGATCGTCTGTCTTCAGCTCAGGGCGTGATCCTGCGGTCCCAGAATCGAGTCCCACATCGGGCTCCCTGCTGGAATCTGCCTCTGTCTCTGCCTCTCTCTGTGTCTCTCATGAATAAATAAATAAAATCTTTAACAAAAAAAAAAAAATTTTTTTTGGTAGAGATCTCATTTGAGGGGATCCCTGGGTGGCGCAGCGGTTTGGCGCCTGCCTTTGGCCCAGGGCGCGATCCTAGAGACCCGGGATCGAATCCCACGTCGGGCTCCCGGTGCACGGAGCCTACTTCTCCCTCTGCCTGTGTCTCTGCCTCTCTCTCTCTCTCTCTGTGACTATCATAAATAAATAAAAATTAAAAAAAAAAAGAGATCTCATTTGAAAGAACTTGGCATATTTTAGATTGGGAGATAGAAAATGGGGTAGCCATAATTGTAAATATCTTAATCTATAAAAGAAGAAAGATTAGTGGTACCCTACAGCTGTGCAGGAAGATAGGGAGCATTGCTAATGGAGGAAGATTTTTTTGTGATGAAAATATCCTAAAATTAGATTATAGTATTTGTTGGAAATTCTAAACATACTGAAACTTTAACATGTTTTTTTAAATTTTTTTTTTTATAAAAAAACATACTAAAACTTTAAATGGTTGGCCCTTATGGTATGTAAATTACACAGCAATAAAGTCATATATCTATAAAGCTTTTTATTTTAAAAAGTCAAAAAATTAAAAAAAATGTTTAAGTCAAAAAATAAGGACTATGTCTTTTCCATCTCTAACTTCAGCTGATATTAAGGCAGAATCTTATGCCAGTTTGAACTTAGATATGAGCATATCTAAATAAGCTGCCCAATTCACTATATAAACTTTTACAGAACTCATCTTTTACATTTGGGCTAACAAGTTCTTAGAAGTGGATGTGTAAGATGATTTTAATGTTATTTTCAGAGTTTTGTCCACATTCCTTTATCCAATGTTAGGATATTAAAAACACAATGGAATTGTTCCTATTCCATAAATAAATAAAATAATTTTATTTAAAGTGAAAATATTTTATTCCATGTCATTATGTAACATCTTTTCTTCTCAGATTCCAAAGATTTTGCAATTCAGTAATAGATTAACTTCTTCAAACATGAAAATATGGGGGACACTTGGGTGGCTCAGTGGTTGAGCGCCTGCCTTCAGCCCAGGGCGTGATCCTGGAGACTGGGGATCAAGTCCCACGTCTGGCTCCCTGCATGGAGCCTGCTTCTCCCTCTGCCTGTGTCTCTGCCTCTCTCTCTGTCTCTCTCTCTCTGTCTCTCATGAATAAATAAATAAATCTTTTAAAAAAGTAAAATGGGATCCCTGGGTGGCTCAGCAGTTTAGCGCCTGCCTTCGGCCCAGGGCATGATCCTGGTGTCCCGGGATCGAGTCCCACATCAGGCTCCCTGCCTGCTTCTCCTTCTGCCTGTGTCTCTGCTTCTCTCTCTCTCTCTCTGTGTCTGTCATGAATAAATAAATAAAATCTTTGAAAAATAAAACATGAAAATGTGGCAAATAGGAAACTTTTAGTTTTTTGGAATCACAGAAAAGGTCTTTGGAGCAACATGTCTTCTCAACATTATTAGCAGTTCTTTAAAGAAGTTTTCCTTTTTTTTACCCTAGTAGAAAGGAGGAATGATCAAACCTTTTATTTTTTATTGTGTCTTAAGTGGGGAATTGGGGCATTTCACATTTAATGTCACCATAAATACTAAAGGTTATACTCAGTGTCAGTTTTGATCATTATATGATGGTCAAAATGTGATCTTTTAGTACAGAATCTGCCTTTACTATAGACATTCTCCACTTTTCATGTATCTTTTCCATCTCTGCTTTCAACAGAAAATGTATTCATTTGTTTTTTATATTATAAAATGCATTTTGTTGTCTGAGGTAAACACTGAAACTTTTCAAAGTGCAGGCTTATTATTGTTTCAACTAATTGCCTGATTTGTTTGTAAAGGGGAAATTTTTATAAAAATGGAGAAAAGCTGTAAATTGCTATCTTGTGGTCTTTTCAAGCAAGTATAATGTAACTCTCTACTTTTTATAGCAAAGGCTAGAAACCATTACTGCAGTAATCAATATGTCATAGTTATATTATTATGGAGATTTTAATGTTATTTTCAAAATTGTGAGCTGTTGGGTTATTGGTCTTCCACTGTTGACACCTGAAAATATTTGACTCCATATTTTTTTCTGTAAATATTTAAGTATTGCTAGGAAATGGTAAGTCAATTTTCAAGCATACAAACACATTTTTAATATTTTAGAAAGTATTCCTCTTTTTTAAGAATTAATTTTCTTATTTCACTCACCTAGTGTCCACTTGGCAAGAAGAGTACTTCAGTTAGAAAAACAAAACTCATTGGTTTTAAAAGACCTGGAACATCAAAAGGAGCAAGTAACACAGCTTTCACAAGAGGTAAATAACTTAAACAAAAGAAACACATATAAAGAATTACAGTGTTCATTTTTAATTCTTTGTCACTCCTTTGTATATATTCTGAGCAGTTTTAAAATAAGCTGTTTCCTAGTACAAAATAATTTTACAACTTAGGAAACTAACTTAATGTTAAAGCCTAATAAAACAACTCATAGTGTATGGCAAAGCTAAGATCAAAAAAGAGATTAAATTGGCCAGACTAAATATAAATGCAGACTAGACAGGCAGAGCTTTGATTTCTGAGAATATCAACTGGCAAAACAAGTTTGGCAATTTCAGGTTGCATTTTGAGTTTTTAAATAAAACTTCACTTTTTAAAATTTTTGTAAATTTAATTCCAACATTGTTAACATACAGTGTTATATTAGTTTCAGGAGTACAATATAGTGATTCAACCCTTCCAGATACTTCTCAGTGCTCATCATAAGTGTACTCTTGATTTCCTTCACCTATTTCACCCATCTTCCCACCCATCTCCCCTCTGGTAACCATCTGTTTGAAACCTCATTTTTAAAATAGATTTCTTTTTGACTCTTATTAAATAAATTACTTTTCTATTGAACACACTTATTAGCTTGATATTCTCAACCTCTCATATTCATTGGTACATGATTATTCCCAAATTATCTTTTAAAATTCAGATTCAGGATACCTGGGTTTCACAGTGATTGAGCATCTGCCTTTGGCTCAGGGCATGATCCTGGGATCTGGGATTGAGTCTCACATTGGACTCCTTGCATGGAGCCTACTTCTCCTCTGCCTAGGTCTCTGCCCCTCACCCCACCCCTTCTGTGTCTCTCATGGATAAATAAATAAATAAAATCTTTTTAAAAAATAAATAAAAATCAGATTCATATTTCTTATTTTCTTCAGCCTTATATATATCATTAAAAAACATATTTTACATGTTGTTTTAATTCTTTTATTTAACATCTCATTACATTTTTCTATACTTCTGAAATAAAACAATTAAAACCAAAGGTACCAACTCATTAGGATACCTTTTATTTCCTGAGTTTCAGCATAGCAGCTTTTTTATATTAACATTTTAAAGCTTGGATGTATTCTTTGTTTTCTGAAGGACTCGTTCATATTTATCTTCTTTGTGCCCTCTATTAAAGAACTTTTTTTTAAATTAAAAAAAATGAAATCTTGCTATTTACAATGATGAGGATGGAATTAAAGTACTTTTAATAGTGCGCCATTAGGATTTATATGCTCAAATTCCAAAGACCAGAAATATTTCATATTACTGCAGTGCCTGACATGTAGTTACACTCAGGATAGAAGTAGTGTTGTGCTGGCAGATGTTAACAACCAGCTCTCCAGGAGGGAGCATGAGAGACAACTATGATTTGTAGCGTTACTTATGTCTGTGGGATGAATATTCCCACCATGACTAACTTTGAGCTGCCAACATCATGTTACTGAACATAGAATAAATGCTCAGTGGCACACCATCACATAATATTTCCACCATACAGATACAACAGACATGGATAAACTCAGGAGCATTGAAAATAGTAAAATAAAAATTAATGAGTGTGAATAATCCCTTTTTAAAATAAAATTGATTTTATTAAAAACTTAAATAATTTTTAATAATCGTTATGTTTAACATCCAGCTCACAAAATTCCCCAAAATTTACCAGTTTGCTGTGACAAACTGCTAGAAGCCAGTTCCAACACACTGTGGAAGGATAAATAAATAAATGATTAAAGAAACAAGACGTTAAAGAAACCTCTGTTTGTTGATATTTTATAATCCCTCATGTTTGTTTTTACTTCAGAATGACCTATCAGAAATATTTCTTTAAAAAAATTAAACTATATACATATTTCTGTGTGTGTATGTGTGTCATACTATTACTTAAAAAAAAAACACCCTCCTGAACACATCAGTTAATTTTAATAGAAATTTATTTTTCTTTGAAATAAGAGTTTCTCAATAGCACATAGTCCCATACAAATTGTATGAGTGAAATGTAAGAAATTAAATGTTCTTGTAATCAAAAATAAGTAACTTTTTAACTTTTTGTGAAATAATTTTAGAATAAGCTATATTGAGAAAAAGATTTAAATACTGAAATATATGTGATATGAAATGATATGATGCCTAGAATTTGCTTTTAAATATCCCATAAAAGTGGGGAAGGGTGGGGGGATCCCTGGGTGGCTCAGAGGTTTAATGCCTGCCTTCGGCCCAGGATCCTGGAGTCCCGGGATCAAGTCCCACATCAGGCTCCATACATGGAGCCGCCTTTTCCTTCTGCCTGTGTCTCTGTCTATCTCTCTCTCTCTCTCTCTCTCTTTCTCTCTGTATCTCACATGAATAAATAAATTTTAAAAATCTAAAAAAAAAAAGTGGGGAAGGGCTCACTGATAAAAGAATCTCAAAATTTTTATCATATTTGAAGCTAGTTAATGGGTTTATTATTCAGTTCTGTACTTTTGTGTATGTTTGAAAATCTTTCATAAGGAGGAAAGAATCAGTAATCTTATATTAAAATTTTTATGGCTAAAAAAAAATTGTATAGCTATCATAGTATATAATCTTTCCCTTAAAATTAAAAATAAAGTATTCTAATTTGAAATATTCCATGGATTTAACTGTTTTCTACCTCACAAAAATTATGTTGCTTAAATTGAAAATAATTCTATAAACTAATTAGCTGAAAGATAATAGTATTAGAATGCTTCTGTACCAACTGACTCTTTGTGATACATGGTGAAAAAAATAGACGGAAATTCTCTCAGGATCTGTAATCTTTTAAACAGTTTAACTATTTAAACTAGCTTGGAGTTTTGAGGGGTACCTGGGTGGCTCAGTCAGTTAAGCATCTGCCTCTTGATTTCAGCTCGGGTCATGATCAAGCCCTGCTCTGAGCCGCATGAGCTCAGGACAGAGACCACTTGAGATTCTCTCTCCCTCTCCCTCTGTAGCTCCCCCTGCTTATGCTCTCTAAATAAATAATATCTTTAATAAATAAAGAATAAATAAACTAGCTTGGAGTTTTTGGAATAATACACAGATGAAACAAGTAACTAAAGCTATAACCAGTAAGTTGTATATGTTATTGAGAATATGTCTGAAATTAAATGAAGTATCAAAATGAGAATGCTAAAAAATATTCAAAAATATTCCTTTTATAGTAGCTTTATTGAGGTATAATTGACATATACTAAGCTGCACATACTTAAAGTGTACTTTTGACACATATGTATACCTATGAAATCATCACCAAAATGAAGATAATGAACATATACATCACCCCCCAAAAGTTTCCTTTTACCCCTTTGGAATCTCTCCCAACCTTCCCTATCGCCATCATAGTCCTCAAGCAACCCCTGATGCATTCTGTCACCATAGATTGGCCATGTTTTACATTTTATATAAATGGAATCATGCAGTATATATATATACTGTATATATGTATATATGTGTGTGTATATATATATATATATATATACACACACTTTTTTTATTCTGACTTCTTTCACTCTGCATAATTATTTTAAGATTCATCCATAGTTCTTTCCCTTCCATTGCTAAGAAGCATTCCATTTATGGGTATCACTGTTGTTCTTTCACCTGTTAATGTTACATTTGGGTACGTTGCAGCTTTTGCCTGTTACAAGTAAAGCTGACCTGAATATTCATGTACGGTCTTTTGTTTCTTTTGGGTGAATACCTGGGAGTAGATGGAGTGGATCATATGCATATGGTTAGATGTCTACTTAACATTTTGGGAAACTACCAAAGTGTTTTCCAAATGTTTGTATCATTTTACATTTCCACCAGCAGCATATTAAAGTCCTAGTTCTTCTACCACCTTGCAAAGACTTGATAGTCAGTGCTTTTAATTTTAGCCAGTCTAATGGGTGTATCGTGGCCTCTCATTATGGTTTTAATTTGCATTTCCCTAATGATTAATAATATTGAGCATCTTTTTGTGTGCTGCTTTGCCCTCTGCTCTTCTTATTGGGGGAAATGTCTTCAAAATTTTTGCCCATTTCATCACACTGTTATCCTCTTATTGAGCTTTGAGTGTTATTTATATATTCTAGATACAAGCCCCTTATCAGTTATATGATTTACAAATATTTTCTCCCATTCTGTGGCTTGTTTTTCCATCTCTTAAAAGTGTTTGAAGAGTTTTTATCAAATCCAGTTTATCAGTTCGTTCTTTTATGGATTTTGTTTTTAGTGTCGTATCTAGAATATCTTTGCCTAACCCAAAGCCACAGGGTTTTTGTCTTGATATTTCATAGTTTCAAGTCTGTAATCCATTTTTAGTTAATTTGTGTATTGTGTGCAAGATATAGATTGAAATTTATTTGCATATTGAAATCAAATTATTCTTGCATCATTGGTTGAAAAAAAGACCTTGTTGAAAATCCATCATAAGTGTGTGAGTCTGTTTCTGGACTCTGTTTCCAGTTATCTAATTTGTCTATATGCCAATATATACTGTCTTGATTACTGAAACTTTATTTTTTTTTAAGATTTTATTTACTTATTCATGAGAGACACAGAGAGACTGAGGCAGAGACATAGGCAGAGGGAGAAGCAGGCTCCATGCAGGAAGCCTGATGTGGGACTTGATCACGGGACTCCGGGATCACACCCTGAGTCAAAGGCAAATGCTTAACAGCTGAGCCACCCAGGTATCCCCAATTACTAAAACTTCATAATGTCTTAAAATTAGATACTATTGGTTGTCTAACTCAGTTCATTTTCTGACTTGGGTATTTTGTGTCCTTTGCATTTCTGAATGAATTCTGTAATCTCTAAATAAACTATCTATGATTTTGGTTGGGATTACATTGAATCTATAGATCAAGTGGGGAAATTTGAAATCTTTGTTTTCTTTTAAAGACCAATTAATTTTGTTTTTTGGGATTTTTTTTTTTTTTTTTTTTAAGATTTAGGAGCACCTAAGTAGCCCAGTTGGTTAAGCATCCAACTCTTGATTTCG